TGAGGCTTTCATCAGAAGCCCTGCTGCTATTCATGTTCTTAACCTCTTAGACTGGAAGAGGCCACAGATAGATCATCCAATCACAGATTCAAGCCATACTGAATCACAAAGCCTTCGAGATTGCTAAATAAGTGAATGCTAAATGAATGGCATCCCAGGCATTCATTTTTCAAAAGAGACCTGGAGAGGAAAAGTTACAGGGTTGGGACTACAGCTTGGGCCTCCTGAATCCCAGTCCATCTTTTGTTCTGTTTCTCAGGTTGCTGTGGCCCAGGATGGACCCTCAGTCTATTTGTCATATCAGATCGCAGTCTTCAGCAAATGTCTGCATAACCTGGTCAGAACCTTCCTTCTGGTAACCCTCTAAAAGCAGCTAGTCCTTAGGAGATCTCCTGGACTCATGGTTTTGGATGCTCACCATAGTGCCTAGGCAGTTGGAGGATTCCAGTCCTTATGAAACAGAGAAAGCAGAACAGTTTGGGAAACTAGGTACTCTGGCCTCCTCCTCTGGACCTGAGGTTTGATTTTTAGCAACTCCTGACATGAGCTGCAGTTTTCAGCCCTAATTTAAATGGGCAGGGGTGACTGAAAATGTATAAATGTTATTATTCAGAAGCCCTTGACATCCCCATGGATCATTGCAGTAATTAAAATGCAACACAGAAGACCCCGTGCTTCAGTAGCAAGGAAAATGAATCAGAATTCGAGTGGGTATTCGCACGTTGCTGTGTCCTGTTCAGCAGAGCAGCTGAGGAGAGTATGAGACAGCTGCCCCTCCCTGAGTGCCATTACCTCTGTGTTTCTCTTCAGGAAGGACAGGCTGTGAGAAGAGCTGAGGGCAGTGTGGGGGTGTTGGAAGCTGCATAGGTCTGCAGTAGGAAGCATAAACGATTTTCATCAGGTGATAAGGCCTCAGGCCAAAGGGTTCTCTTGCGACTCTGCTAGTCCCCGTGCATGAGGTTCATGTCTCTGCCTTTTTGAATGTATTTCCTTTTCTCTTTAAGCCTGGCAAAGTCTTGCTTCTCCTTCAATGCCCAGCTCAAAAGCCACCTCTTCTGAGAAGCCTCCTGCTTCACAGTAATCATGCTTCCCTTTCTGCCCACCAGGCATGTGGTCTATACCTTCCTTACAGCACCTATTCATTTTTGCCTTCTTGCCATTTCTGTGTATGCCAGTCTCCCTCAACAGCTGGTGAGTCCATTGAGGTATCACCTAGGTACACCCTGAACACAGACACTGTGTACATGCTGATTGATGGAGTGAGTAAGCACAGGAACAAATCCTTGGCCCAACTCAGTTTTTCTCACATCAGTCCTCTCCTTCTGTCCCTTTTTTCTGCTGTTGAGGGTTGTAAGGAAGATGAAGGTAATGGATGCTTGTAAGGTGCTTTATATATTACAAGTTACTTTTGTGTACATTGTCTTTGATGATCATTGTGAGACCTGTGAGGAACAGAGAATGAGTTGGTCTCATCTGTGAGCAGGGTTTGTTGTAATGGATCCTGCATGAAGGATAATAGCAATGATTAACATCTATTGAGAGTTTGGCATGTGCCAGGCATGGTTCTTAATGCATTACACGTATAATTTAATTCTCACAACAATCCAAAAATTAAGATCCCAGAATTACAGATGAGAATACTAAGACACAAAGAGGTAATTTGCTCAAGAAGTGCCTCTTGATTAGTATGTTTTATTGTTAGCACCTTGTCCCTAAGAGACCTTACATTATTCTGACTTTCAGAAGGAAGAACCCATTGAGTAGTTCTTTTCCCACCCATGAATTTGCAAAGAAATCAGTTGTAGGGCCAGGTACGGTGGCTCACGCCTATAATCCCAGCACTTTGGGCAGCATGGCGAGACCTCATCTCTACAATAAATCAAAAAATTAGCCAAGCTTGGGGGTGCTTGCCTGTAGTTCCACCTACTTGGAAGACTGAGGTGGAAGGATCACCTGAGCCCAGCAGGTCGAGGCTGTGGTGGCTGTGAGCATGCCGCTGCACTCCAGCCTGGGCAACAGAGTGAGACTCCAACACACACACACACACACACACACACACAAGAAATTGTTCTTAGCTTTGAATATAGTTTTTTTTACAGGAAGGAGAATACCCGCTTATTAAGATCCTGAGGTTCTTAGATTCTTGGCAAGCTTTTCAGATACCAAGGTGTCTTTCCTAGGAATTGCCTGGGTAAGTTATGTAACTATAAGAATCTCTTTCCATCATTTCTTATACTCTGCAAAATATTGGCGGATTATGGTTTCTGTGATAGGATTATGACCCTTAGACCCTTATTCTTCCTCTACATATTTCCTTCCTCCATAAGTTTCCATTTTTTCTACCCACTTCCTTTCCCCTGGCATCTGTCTGGTATTGAGTTCTTGGCATCTGCGTCTCTTTCTTCATTGATATCTAGCATGAATGGGTGACTGTGTGACAGGGCCTGCATTGTTGGCTCCCACAGCAGCAGTCAGAACATTCTCTGTGGCCTGGGTTCTGAGGTTCACCCAAGCAGTGTGAGCCAGGCCAACCACCAGTTCTGAGCTATGGTGTTTTTCTCTTGTTGTCTCTCTCGCCCCCCCAAAATTGATAAATATGAAGCTAGAAGTTGATGCAGTGCTGTGGAAGCCTATGCTCCTTTACCCAAGTCCTCTACTTTCATTCAAATGCAGTCAGAGGGACATTGCACCTTGGGCCAGGATCTGTAGGAAGTTGGTCATTAGAATATGGTCCTAGAGATAGCAAATTTTACAACCTGGTTGACTCTCCCATGAGCTTCTCCCACAAAGTATTATTGGCCTGAACCACCATTAGATCATATGTCATCCACTCTGTGCCCCTCCATGCAACACCACTGGGCAGCTTTGTTCTGGCTGCCAATTATTATGTGTGATATTCATAGCCATGAGTCACGGGGTCTCAGTTAAGCTGGATGGAACTCTTTTGTACTCAACATGTCTTCTTCCCTAGAGAAATGATTCAAGTTGTTCAGGTCTTGTTCTTTACTTGGGACATGACCTTCAGGGTGCAGGGTTTGTGAGCTGGGGTGTGAAAGTCCCCAAACGGTCAAGTGTAGAGGGGGAGACGCCAAAGTTCATGTTTCTGGGCTCCTATAGATAAGTGATCAGAACCATAAAGTGCAGCTAATTGGTAGCCTTGCCAAAAGCTGAACAGACTGGAGACTGAACCACTCCTCTGGAGAGGGTTGGGTGGGAGTGGTAGGTGGAATTCAGTCTGCTTAGACCTCAGGGAGCTGAGCTCATTCTGAGAGCTGGGCGTTGGGATTATTCCTTAAAGGCTGCCTTGGGTGAACCAGTGTTGTGCAACACTAGCATTGGGTATGGGCATTGGAGACTGTTTTAGCACATCGTGTTTATAAAGTGCTGCTCATTTCACACTCCTCACCTGAGCACCCCTTCTAGTTACGGAACTGAGCTTCAAGAAAGGACCTTGGGGCTGCAGGCACGATGAGGGAAAGTGGTGCTGTGCAGGCAGCAGCAGGAGAGGAACTCAGGCAGGTCTCTAGCAACCCCAAGGAGAAGTTCGCCATCACAGCTTCGTGGAGACTTGGATTCTCATCACTATCATGACATTAAAGGGATTTTTAAATATCATGCAGCCCAATCCACTAATTTTAGACACTAAGACCCACTGCCAAGGCCACACAGCTAGAGAGCAGCACCGCCAGGATCAGAGCCAGATCTGCAGACTCCTAGGTTAAAGTCTTCTCCCTCACCACCTTGGGTAAATCACTAAAGGCTTGTGGGCCGTAGATGCTTCACCTGTAAAAATAGTTGAACTTGGCCTCAACTTTTGGTTCTAAGATACTCTGATCTCATGAATAGCTCTTGGGAACTTTGGGCAGACGTCTTAGAGAATTGTTTGGTATAGGTTTAGATTACACTTGAAGAGAAGAGAAAGTTGAATATTTGGAATGTGAGCTAGTGCTGGACATAGTGTTGTTATTTACCCTGATGAGGTGGATTAAAATCTTTAATGGGACTGAGTTCATGCAAGGAAAGCTCTTGGGTGTGCCAGTGTGGTGCTGACGATTTGGCCAATTATTTATGCTACTTCGGAGCAGAGGTATTTGATGAACAGTAGTAGTTGGCTTTGTGAGCTAGTAGTGTCAGATTTCTAGGATGTCAGGGAAGTCTCGAGAGAACTGCAAATGTCTTCCTGGCATTGACAAGTTAGACCGTTTTGTTTTCAGTGGATCAACTAAGGTTAAACTTAAACAAATACGAGCAGCTGGGAGGCTTTGGAAGGAGCAAGATGCATGCATTCTCAGTTTAAAAAAAAGAAAAAGAAAAGGTTTGTGCTTTCTGCGGAAGGAAGGATGAGGCGTGGACCTCTGAATGGCCCACTCTGAGGAAGGAAGCGTAATTTCTCTGCTGTTTTGTTTTGTACTTTCAGTTAAGAAATTCCAGAAGTTGCAGGTTGTGGATCATGACCTCCATTTTTTTTTTCTCTGCTGCTGCTTGCCAGAGGAAGGGAGGGCGGGTGGCTCTAAATAACACTCTGGCCTTTATGGAAATATATCAGATGTTCCAGGAGTGAGTCTTGCTTGCGCGTGCTGGCTCACTGGCGCTCTCTTGCTTCTACTCCATGTTCACTTGCTCTGTCCTCTGTCCTCACCGTGTCCTTTCTGTAGGGGATAGTTAGCACTCTTCTCGCCTTATATAGCAAGGTCTGGTCATTAATGTTAACAGAAACCTAACAACAGGGAAGGCTGCCAGATAGCATTAATCAGGCCAGTGTTTGGAATTTCATAAATGCTCTGACTTTGGGTACAAATTGAGCATTAAGAACAATACAAAAACTGTTTTCTTCCTTCCTCTCTTTTCTTCTCTCCTCTCCCCGTCTCCGCAGCCTACCGAGTTCCTCTCTGTGTCTGTTTTTCAATTCCTCTGCTCTGCTATACACTCACTGCATTGGAACTTTGTTGATTTTTGCCACGCTTAATTTTTTATTTCTCTATCTCTTTGTCCACTCCAAGACTACAGGCGGAGCAGCAGCAGCCGGAGCCAGGACTCTGCAGAGGGGCAGGACGGGCAGGTCCCAGAGCAGTTCTCAGGTCTCCTCCACGGCTCCTCCCCAGTGTGTGAGGTGGGGCAGGACCCTCTCCAGCTGCTCTCTGCCACTAGCCAGAGTCATCCAGACGGGTCTCCCCAGCAGGGTGCCTGCCACGAGACCAGCATGCAGCTGGAGAAGACGGATGTGCATACTCCTGGAGCCTCCCAGCCCAGTGTCCCGGACCAGAGCAAGGGAGTGGGATGCCCGGCAGGCCTACCCACTACCAACAGCCGATCCCACCCTGCAACTTTGACTCACGTGGCATCTCTGCACCCTGGTGGTGCTGAGGAAGGAGACCGGAGCGGGGCAAGAAGCCGAGCCCCTCCCACCAGCAAACCCAAAGCTGAACTCAAACTCAGCCGCAGCTTGTCCAAGTCTGACTCTGATCTCCTGACCTGCTCACCCACTGAGGACACTACCATGGGGAGCCGGAGTGAGTCCTTGTCCAACTGCAGCATTGGGAAGAAGAGACTGGAGAAGTCACCTTCCTTTGCCTCAGAGTGGGATGAGGTAAGGCTGGCATGACATCACAGAGTTGGGCTGGCCACAGCCCACCACAGCTCCCCTGTGTACCGACTCCCAGGACCAAGTTCCTTTGCGCTGTGACTAGAGTGTTTCTGACAACTATGAGGGAAGGCAAGCCCCAGGTAGCCTGGGTCACAGTGGACAGGTCCATTAATGGTTAAGCTTGAGGGTGGAGGCCCCAGCAGAGCAGGGCTGAGGGAGGGGCAGTTCCTAGAAATGACATGCTATTTGGAAATACTTGGATCCCATCAGCCCCATGGAGGGAAGCATGCTCACCCTGAACATGCTTAAGAAGAGCTGGAAGTACTTCCTGTCAGTCCTTTGGGAGGAAGCGAGAAGAAAGATCCTTAGCCTGGAGGTGTGGGGGGTAGGTGAAGAGGGATAGGATGGGGGAGAAACTGCTGAAAGGGGATCAGAGGGGTTTTTTTCTATTCCCTGCTCCCCCATGGTTATTGTTACTGTGCTCCCCTGAGCCAAAAGCTTCTTCCAGCAGAAGTGTCCTGCTGTCCCTCATTCCTGGGTTGGTCAGGCAGAGGGCTAGGTGGTTCAGGAAAAAGAGAGATTAATGAGCAGAAAACATTTGGAGTCAGAGGCCCAGATTTTTTCATAACCATTGTTACAGAGTAGTTAGAAATATGTGCCCAAGTATTTTTCAGTGACCTATGGCATGTCTTGCTGGGCAGAAGAATGTGCTTCTCAAAGATTGGTAAACACTCCAGGAATGTTGAAGTGCCACCCTTGCAAGCTTCTTTCTGGGAGGAAGCTGCCTTTGACAGGGACTATGTCTGTCTCTCAGAAACAATTTCAAGAGATACATTTAGCTCTTCAAGAGGAGGGAACACTACAGCTGGCATGTCCATTTGAATAATCTGTAGACTTAATGCCCTACTCAACTCCATTTGGGTTGCTGTTACAAAGTTATGTAAACCAAAGCCAATCTGTTTCCAGTGAGGGAACAAGGCGGGGCAGTCCTGGCACTGTCTCCAGAGGAGAGAGGTTTAGGGCCCTGAGTAGTCAGAGACAGAGAAATCCCATGCAAAAGAAGATTTCCATTGCCTAGTAAATACAGATTTGGTGACCCTCTACTGGACTCCTAGCCCCTAGTAGAGATCATCATGTATGAGTGAGCTGGGAGCGCTGGCAGTGGAAGGAGGAGATTACACCAGGAGTATGTGTGTTTGAATGAACATATGCTGCACCTTTGTTTTTCAACAGAGTTTTACTAATTTACAGTTAACTATAGGATAAGTTTAAAAGTAGGATGAAGATACGTGCAATATACTCTAAATGGCAGGAGAGGTCAAGAGAGGAAAACATCAGTCGAGGTGGGTAGAGACAGGAGATGTGAGAGGGGCGGGAAGGGACTTCAGGACAGATAACTGAGCAGTGGAATATGACATGAAATTAAAAGACCGAGTGTTGTGGTTAAACCTAGATTGAAGCTAGTGGGATGAAGAGGTGGGTGGAGAGAACAGCATGAGCAGAGGCATGGAGTTGGGAAAGCTTAGGTCACTTGACTTCTGCAGTGTTGAGTGTGTACTGGGGAGAGTAAGAAATAAGGGCAGAAAGTGAAATTTGCACCAGATAGTGAGAAGGCCCTTGAATGTGAAGCCGAGAGATGAGTGTCGTCAGTGTTCCATATCCATACATTCTGTATCTGTGCATTCAGCCAACCACAGATCAAAATTGGGGGGGGCGGGTAAAAAAACAATAAAAATAACAATACAAAAATAAAAATATAACAACTGTTTACATAGAACTTACATTGTATTAGATACTGTAAGTAATCTAGAGATGATTTAAAGTATACAGGAGCAGGGCTGGGTGCGGTGGCTCATGCCTATAATTCCAGCACTCTGGGAGACTAAGGGAGGAAGATTACTTGAGGCCAGGAGTTCAAGATCAGCCTGGGCAACATAGTGAGACCCTGTCTCTACAAAAATATTTTAAAAATTCGTCAGGTGTGAAGTATAGCACATGCCTGTAGTCCCAGCTACTAGGGAGGCTGAGGCAGGAAACTCACTCGAGCCCAGGAGTTGGAAGCCACAGTGACTGCACTCCAGCTGGGTGACAAAGTGAGACCCTGTCTCTAAAAAATAATAATAAGGCATTATATAGGAGAATGTGTGTAGGTTATACGCAAATACTATGCCATTTCATATCAGGGACTTGAGCATCCACAGATGTTGATATCTGCAGGGGTCCTGGAACCAACCCCATGGATACCAAAGGATGACTTCTTGATTTGATATAAAAGCAGTATCTCAGGACCCTTTACACGGTCTGAGAGGAGTAGTGCTAGGTGAGTCTTCAAAGGATATTTATGTCCTGTTAACATGCAGCATTGCCAGGCAGTCTTACAGGCTCCACCACTTCCTCCTGGAGAGGAACCTTGAAATCACCCAGGCAAAGCCAGGTTTAATTGAAGTTGGCTGTGTGGGCTCATAAGCCAGCTGACTCTTTGAATCTCAATGCAAGGTGTTTCATGTGCTGATACTACCTTTGCAGTTAGAGATCACAGGTGCATACAGTGAACCTAAAGATTATCTGAGGTCTGGGTGTAGTGGGCCACTTCTGTAGTGTGGCTAAAGCACCGGAAACACTGCTACATTTTAAATTTGAAAAACACTGAAAGTTAATTAAGGTCTTATTGGAAGGAATTCAGAAGATCGAGCTTGTTTACATAGTCAGCATGAATAGGACCCTCTATGTGTAGCCCTTCAATATTGTTTTTGAGTCGTAGTGTACTTGGTTTGTGGATATCTGTATCTAAAGAGAAACTTCAGAGGAGAGTCCCCCGGTGATTGGCCCTAAAATTGAAGATTTGTTAGACTTTCAGAGAATAAGCATTAGTTAAGAGGGTTTCTCACCCTAGCCCTGGTCAGTGCCCAAAGGCTGCATTGCCACGTCCTGTGCTTGCTGATTCTTTTTCCCTTGTTGTCATTAGACCCCCAGGAGGTGGAGAGTGCTGCTCTGAAGAAGCTTGGGCCCCCTTAGCTCCTCACCGTGAGACCTGGGAAAGAAGAGGAAAGCTGAGGGAGGGAGCCCAGCACCAGGTTGCTGGGAGTGGCATGTGAGTTGGTCAGCCTGCTTCTAGCAGGAGGTGCAGGGCAACGGACCTGCCCTGGTTCGGTAGTCAGCAGATCCAGCTGTGAGCCCCAGCACCACCTACTACTCCACTTGGATGCATGGCCTCAATGACACTCACTGTTATCACTCATCCTTATTTGTGAAACAGACGGCCAGATCTGTGTTTCAGAGTGTTTTTAGCAATTCACGTTGTGCTTAGGTGCTTAGAACAGTTCCTGGAATGCATGGGATGTTGACTAAATGGTAGATACTAATGTTAGGATTGTGCCTGGGGCTTTGGAGATTGGGGACTGAAGCCTGGAGTGTCTTGAGACCCTAAGAACAGCAGAGTTCTTTGCTAATGGTCCTTTGGTGTTTGGTGGTGGCAGAGTGGGTGGGAAGCAGTGGAGTTCAACTGGTGATTCTCCTGCATGGCTCTGCCTCACCACAGAGATGGAAGAGCCCACCCCCCAGCTTGGGAAAGTAGCACATGCATTCCCCAATGTTCTTTGAGAAATTAATGAGCCTTTCTGCTTAACTCTCTGAGAGGAGAGGTTAGAGAAAAATCTGTAGCCCTCTCTTTGGTTTATTTTTCAAGTATATTCTTCCACGTAGTGGTCAGCAGTGGCTGTTTGGTTGGTTGTTTGGGCTGATGTTCTATAGTCGGGGAACATGCATAGCTAATATATTTGGGAGTCATTTTCTCCAAATACAGACTGTTCCTTACAGTGGGTTAATGCAGCCGTGACCAACATGATTTCTGAAAGATGCCCTGGTAAGAGTAAACCTCTGAGATAGTGGTTCTCCCTAACACTAACGTTCTCCCTATTTTCTATTATATTTTTGGTAACAAGGGAATGATAGAGATTGCCTGTAAAAGAGCTCAGCCTAAGAGGAGATCTAAGTTCAAGCTTCAGGAGATATTTTCTATGGTCTCCATTCAAGTCAAAGCACTCTTGGTTGTCTTAATGATGCCTGGGGTATAACAGAAGTTATACTGAGAAGTTATACATAAATGAAACTTTAAAATATGTAGGTAAGGAATGGAGAAATCACCTACATCCCTCTGTGCATAGTTAACCTCTATTAGCACTTGATGAATATCCAAATTTGGGGTATTAATATATTTACTGATTTATAATTTGCTTTTCTTACCTATATTACTGCGAGTTGTGGATATCTTGCCATGGCAGCGTCAATAAGATCTAAGTTCACATCTTCATTCTGAAAGGCTTAGCATTCCGTTGTATGGCTTTATTGTAAGGTTGGTTTGTTGTTGCTTAAACTGTTTTCCAATCATTAGATATTGTGCAGGGCATTTTTCACCTTCTCTTCAGGTTTAGTCCTACCCTTCTCTGCCTGCCTTGGCATCCTGCATTAAGGTCAGGGGACTGTTGGGTTGGCTGTGTCCCTCTACTGAAGGCCACCACTCCTCTGAGGGACCTTCTCCCAATAGCTGGTCTCACTAGGTTCTAGTAAACAGTTCCTCCCTTTGACCCTTCCAGCCTCTCTGTGACTAGCTTCCCTCCGTTGGTGCTCTCCCTGTACCTACCCAAGCCTGTATAAATAACCCCATTGTTAAACTCCCTCAGTTGCCCAGTTTGAATGTGCCACCTTTTTCCTGTGAGGACCTTGAACAGTACAGCCATTTTTAGTACTGTTTTATCAACTCTAAGCAAGCATAGATGTCTGTGAGCTGGAGCAGTAAACATGACTCTAGTATGTAAATTTTAAATTAATCTTAATTTGCAAATGAGACTGGGTGCGGTGGCTCATGCCTGTAATCCCAGCGCTTCTGCTGAGGCAGGAGGATTACTTGAGCCCAGGAGTTCAAGACCAACCTAGGCAACGTCTCTACAAAAAGACAAAAAAATTAAGTGAATATGGTCGTGATACCTGTAGTCCCAGCTGCTTTG